CTTTGATTCTGGGCGGCAATCAGTCCTAACCCTATGTATGGGCTCAACAATAGTGAAGCCATAAACTGTTTTAACTGAATGTTGTTTGAAATGAAATGTAAACTAAAATATATTTCATGTTCTGACAAAGACCTCAAGACACAGTCGGCGTCGACGATGACATTGACTTACAATTGTTGTCAAAGACTATCTCTCCGTTCGGACCATCAAATCGGATAAAGTGCTGGCCGTTCACCAGTCTATTGTCTGTCGTCGTCCTCTCTGGTCATCAGTTGATGTCTCAAATGGATTCAATGCCTCAACAAAACTTCCAAATTTACTTCAGATGAGAGGTTAGTAACAATTTTATAATTTATTTGAATTCTTATCAATTGATTAATTGATTTATTTCAGTGATAGAAATCAGATCTTGAGACCAATACATGAGAAGCGGAAAGTTATGTCAATAGTTAACAATAATTGACCTCCCAAACAGTGGCTCTCTTTTGGCCAGACATCCGATCCGTGTTTTGATTTGATCGACGCTTTGGTCTTCTATTAATTCTATGGATTAAAGTCCGGGGGTTTTGGGAGAGGGGGTGCGCCATAAACAGTACCACAAGCTCTTGGAGACCGGGGGTGTTGGGAGTCCTGACAGTCCGGCTGACCAGTGATGACGGGTGTTGGGAGTGTCGGACAGTCCGACTGTTGACCATATGGTGGACAGGGGTGTTGGGAGTCCGCATAGTCCACGTCATCACTGGTCATGCGGTGCTGGGAGTCGGGACAGTCCACCCGGTCTGAGAGGGCGTGTGTGCTGTTTGTGGTGGCGGGTTAGTGGGCTCCCTCGACCCCCTCGTGGATCTTTAAAATGCTACAAATTCCGAGGTTTAGACAATTAATCGCAAGAGTTCTTCAGATGAGAGGTTAGTAACAATTCCTTTATTTGTTGGATATTTTTGTATTAATTGATTGACTAATCCATTGATTTGTTTCAATGATAGTATAAAAACGAAATACAGAACAAAAGTAAATTGAATTTCTTTCACGACTACTCGATTGGCGAACGTATTAGAAGTTTAGAGTCGGGTCTGGACTTAGAGTCATATTTCGGGCGTAAGAGTGACCACCCGTTGACTGGATTGTAAATGCATAGCAATAAACATACAGATCATTAATAAAACATTTTTAATTTATCACAAAAATATGAATAGTGTCTGAATTAATAATAAATATCTTTACAAATAATAAATAAATTAAAAATATATATAAATATAAGAAATATCAAAGACTATATTTGTGTAAATTTTTCTTAATATGTTTTTGATCGAAAAGAATGGTATAATCTATAGTATAGTCATCATTGGTCTCGTCAATAGACTCCCAGTGTTGGGGTTCGGCCGACGAGTACGACATAAACACAATCACTCCGATTATATCAAGAGTAGCCGCGAAGTAAAAGAGATGACTCCAGGTTTGCATTGAATTGGGATTACTATCGATCGCAACGCCAACAAAATAGGGGACAATAAACCCGCCGATTGATCCGATCGAGTTCATTATGGCAAACACAGTGCCGGTGTAGGTCTCCGTCATATCGGCCACAATCGGCACATCACCACCGGATGTGATGCCCATCACAAGCATACACACAGTCAGTAACGTAATGTTCATGAGTTTATCACAGCCGGCAAATGTGGTCATCACTAGTGCGACAGCCATTCCCACGCCAGCTATCGTTTGAAATAATTTTCTCACATTTGTTTTGCTAATCCATTTGGTTTCGAGGATCATATCGGCCACAAAACCAGAGCTCATTGAAGTGATGGCCAAACCTAACATTAATATTGAATAAATGGATCCGTTCTCAGAGATGGGAAAATGTATGACATCTTGAAAATAAGCCGGAATTTTGGATGTTATGAAATCCCATGTAATGCCAAACAACACTTTTGATATCAATACCGATAGAAAGCGTTTCGATGTCAGTATTCTCTTCCACGGGATTGAGTCCCGAGTTTTGTTGTGTCTCCTATTGTCTGCTCTCTTTAAGATGTGATTCAATTCAGTGTCTGTTATCCACGAGTGAGAGGAAGGACTAGAAGTGATGACTGAAAACCATAGGAAACACCACACGATCGCCACAACACCTAATGGAAAGATTAAGATTTATAATTATTCATGAATTATTACATTAGTTACAAGTATTACATAATAATAATAATTATTATTGAATAAATAAAATATTTGCTTTTATTTATCCCTCTTTTATGAAAAATCAGATGATTTGCAAATTTTTGTCTCAACACTTGCACAACACATGAGTCAAAATTTTGCTGACAAACTGTTTGTGTCAAAAAAAGTAAATGAAATCAAAAGTTTTTTTGCAATAAATTACCGCATATGTAGAAGACTGAAGGCCAGCCACCCATCACTTTGTTCTCAATGAGATGTCCGGCACCGGCGGAGCAGACAATTGTGCCGATAGTACAGCCGACATCCAGCCATGGGATGAATGTGCTGTGCTCTTCGGGTGGTATCCATTTGGACATCAATACCATGAATGAGGGAAACAGTATTCCCTGAACCAAACCCAACACAACTCGAGATCCAATGAAGAGGTAGTAATTCCAGCGTATAATGAAAGGTGTGAATAGATTGATGACACCCGACGTGAATATCGCGATACCGATCATATACTTAGCGCCGTATAGTTCCGATAGGCGACCGCCAAATATTTGCGGCCAAATATAACCTTCAAAAGAAAATTTTGTTTTAGGACTTATGAATTGAGCAGTTTTTCAAAATTGTAATTTCCTTTCAAATCTACTAAAACGACAAAATATATGGTAATATCCTTTTTACTAATAAATAATTGATGACAATTATTGTACATAAAAGCAAATAATCACCATAATAGAAAGCACCAAGCACAATTCCCTGTGTTGGTGGAGACCAAGCAAACTCTCCAACAATGGTTGTGTTGTCAATGTTTAAAGAATCGACCGGACATTCATCGGAAAGCACTGATTGATTGAATGCGGTATTAATGACACTAATCTTTGGCACAACAGTCACCATATCAACGATGGCAACATTGATATTGACCCTGGTCATATACATCACAGCGCAACCCAGTAGCGACACAAATGCCACCAGGAACCTGAGCGACATAAACTTTTTGCACTTTTGAGCATGGTCATAGCGATCAGTGTCTGGCAACAATTTGTCCACCAGTTCTGAATCCATTATTAATTAAGTTAAATAAATAACATATTTTACTAAATAACTTAAGACTAATCAAAATTAATTCATTACAACTACTAACAAATAGATTGCAATGCAATTAAACACATTTTATAAACAGTTTTTATCGCAATTTATAGGATTGATATTCAATACTGATAGAGAAGTTGTGTTGTGCTGTTACAGCAATTGCAATGCCAATCAATGAGACGGCATATAAATGGCAAATAATATGTTGTAATGATTATGAGACGGAAATTGTAGTCTCAATTCAATGTCATCTGTAGTGGTGTTCAGCTGTTCCGAGAGAATGGAAATTGCAATGCCAATCAATGAGACGGCATATAAATGGCAAATAATATGTTGTAATGATTATGAGACGGAAATTGTAGTCTCAATTCAATGTCATCTGTAGTGGTGTTCAGCTGTTCCGAGAGAATGGTTTCAAATGTGTTTCACTCTATTTAACACACATTTCATGAAATCCTATTGAATGTGTGAAATGATTCCTATCGTAATACCATAGATATATCCAATAAGATCTTACCATATCGTATATATCGTTACTTCTTATACATTATCTGTATACTCGACAAATCCTATTATTTCCTACACTATTACATAATCTATATTATATATTAACATAAGGTTTAAGTTTTTTTTATAGTATACAGGAATAGTTAATAAACAATTGCATAAAGTTTGAACAACATTTTAAAGAAGTGGTCCATAATCTATAAATATTCAACTAAACGTGTTGTTAGGATATTTTCCATTTCACTAAATAATTGTATTTTCTAAATATACAGATTTATAAATTGTAATTTATTTATTTTATTTACCAGCATTAGTTTAAGATATTCAAATTATATTTGCATAACAAAATTTGTTACATTTAATGTACAAATGTTATTACAAATTCTTGCGTTAATTACATTTGTGTTTTAACTGCTAATCCATTAGTTTTTAATCTTGATGCAGTTATCCTAATAGTATAATTTTAACCATGTTAATGATGCTCAACAAGTTAATTGATTGTCATTTATTTGACTATTATTAGTATGAGAATCAATAGTTTGTATAAAAGTTGTTGAAATGAATGCCAAACTTGATTCCTGTTGTCTAAATGATGCCGATTTGAGACACTAGTGAACGTTATTTGTTGCAAAGTGTAGTCAATGGCATCACATCTGTTGCCAAAATCAAAACTTTTTGTACGAAACACTGCAAACAGATCTCAAAACACAACCACAACTACTTCTTCAGTGCAAATCATGGATTCAATGGATTTGTTTCCCGTGGAAGTGATAGAGCGAGTGGTGAGACATCTGGTCGGCCATACGTTTGCGGTGTCGGCGCGAGTGTCCACTCGTTGGCGAAACGCCGTCCGAAATGTCGAG